CAAGTGGAGTCTTTAAGTGAATGACACTTGTGTATGTGTGTGTGTGTGTGTATGTGTGATTTATTTTACTTTATAAGACCAATCTAATTTTCTCCTATGAGGTATGAGTGTGAGTCTTGTGCAGTTAATATATATTTAATTCCATGTCTTTACTTGCTAGGCAGAAATGTAAAAGAGAAAAAATGGAATAAAACACTTTAGGTATCTGACTAGGAAGATATTGTCATGGGAGGAATGCTAGCCTGATAGGTTGTTTTAAAAATGATGAATTACTAAGTCTTAACTGTTCAGTCACAGAAGCTGTGTGGAGGAATAAAGTCTACTTTGTACTGGAATAGCAAGGGATCTCCACATATCACACTGCAGATGTAGAAAAGAGATTCTCTCTTCTCATCTCCCAGTCTTTCCAACATGTAAGAGTTGCCTTAAGTTGTTCCGTGTCATTTGGTGCATGAACTGAAGTTACCTCATTTGAAGAGTTGATTCTAGCGGTAGCTTTCAAAATTATAATGGGATCACATGTCATTCTCATCTTTGGCTCTCTTTAGAGCCGAGGATGAAATTATCAGGGTGCTTTTTAAAACTCAATCTTGAGAAGTCATGCAGCTTGGCAAACCCACATAAGAATTTACAAAAGCGCCCAACTTCTAAGGCTCCCTTTTTGATGGAGACTTAAACCTCAGATTACCTGCTCTGCCATGATTGAATGTTTGTATTGGGTTCCACTGTGGATAACATGAGGATTCATTCCAGATAATAGCAAGATTATTTTAAAGCAGTCAAGGAAGGCTAAGGTATCACCAGCAACTACAGAATGCTGATGCCAAGGGCCAGGCTCTATCCATACCAGTTGAGCTTCCGTTCTGATTGTTTGGTATTGACTGATTGCTGGGTATTGACTAGATATTTTGCCAGGCATCCTCATTCCCCTTAGGAAGGCACAATACAGCGTGGCAGCATCATTCTTGATGAATTGTTATGTTTCTGATCACCTTTACACATGCTTTTTAATCCCTCAAATGAGATTTTTGTATTTTTTTGTTAAAAGTTAGTTATAAATCCTAACTCTTAAACTATTCCTTTCATACAACCAAATCTGTTTTTAAATATTCCTCTGCTGTTTTAAAAGAAAGATACTCAGTTTCCCTGAATTAATTACAATGAGTTTGACATTCTCCTTTCATTCATATTATTTTCCTTCAAAAGAGTTCTGTGCTCCCTAGAGTCTTGAGGTCTCTTTTTCCGCTCTTGCCAAGAAAGAGATATTTTTGCTGTGTGTTAACTGGACACAAGATTGGCCAACTAAAGATGTTATCTGGGTGCTAGTGGCTCAAGCTTGTAATTGTAGCTACTCAGGCGTATGCAAGCCTTCATCTCTAGTCAGCCATCAAAAAGTTGGGCTGGAGGTGTGGCTCAAGTGGTAGAGCACCAGCCATGAACAAACAGAGTACAAGGCACCCCTTCCCCCACCCCCCCCCCCCGTACTAGCAAAATGAAAGGATAAAAAAAGAAAAGAAAATGTTATTCGAAGCCAGTCACAGAGAATAAAACAGAGAACAGTGACTGCCTGGTTAGAAATACTGTGCATCCCAGCAGCTCTAGGCATTTGGAATTTTGTCTCTATTAAGCACAATAGTGACAATGATACCTGCCATTTGTGGGTGACTCATCTTGGGCTCTGTATGATGTTTTGTACACAGTGGCATGTTGGAGCTGATGTAACAAGTTCATCTTAAAGTTCCTTTTGGTTCATTATGGCACTGTAGGGTCTGGGGCACTGTGTGGTGTGCCTGGGGGATTTCGTGATCAGCCCACTGCTGACTTAGCCAGTCCCTCACAGAATTTATGACCTAGGAAAGCTGTGGGTTGCTTACTCTGAGCTGAACCTTTTCAATGAATCCTAACTCATGATAGACAAGAGAGGTAGAAGTACTCACAGAGGATCCATGCTGACTTCCTGCAAAATTCCCAGATGGTTGCTTCATTCTGCAATGAGACTCAGTCGGGTGTATTATCTCACCGTGGCCTTGGGACTGGCCACCCTGGTCTGTCACTGAGCACTAGAGTCATGAGGATGTCAAGTGGGCAGAGAGAGGATCACGTGGGCTGGAGCCTCCAAGCACCTGCAGCCAGATATGCAACCAGGGCCCAGGTGTGAATCCTCCATCGTGAGGACTTGGGAGAGAGCTCCGTGGGTGAAGGGGTCCCCCACGTGAGATTTAGAGGAGGGAGGACAGACTAGCCTGTAGTCCAGAAACCTCTTGAGTGTTGGAAGGGAGATGAGGAAGGTGGAGATGAACAGTTTTAATTACCATTGAGGACCCTGCTTCCTCTGGGTTCCCTAGGGAGTGAAAAGGTTACTTCAGTGGTGTTTGGGAAACCCACACCTAGAAGACTTTCTTTTGTTGCTCTTTGTACCTTGTTTGTACACATAATTGGTTACTTTTGTTATACAGTCCACCAGACTCTGAAAAGCTCCTTTGTGTGGCCGAGGACACTACTCTGCTACATCCTTCCAGGGACAAGATAAGGAAGCCAGGAAGACCCATGGGTTCTTGTCCCACATCCCACCACGTATAAAAGCCTTTCCCCTCTCCCCAAGGAGTAGGGGCTTATTCTAAATTCTGTCATGGAGCAATGCCGGGCGCTTATTAAGTGCTTACTAAGCCAGTACATTCCTATGGGAAAGACCCCATTCATTCATATCCAACGCACTGGGCTTGGTTCCCTTTTCAACCTGCTCTTGTTGCCTGTCCTTTTTCTCTCTTCCCTCAGCAGTCACACCACAAGTCTTTTAGCTGCACATCTTGCTTCTTGTTCATATGAGCCCCGCCCTTCTTCCATGCTATTATCTCATGCCCATCCTGATGGTTGCATCTCCTGGAAGGAATCAGGACAGGAAATGCTCCCACAGGGCACAAACAGCCCCAGAACTGCTTTCTCCTTTCCCTTCCCTCTGCGTACAAACAAGGGGAGAACTTCAGCCGGCATTTCCATCTCAGGTCTCAACCGAAGCCAAGGTGTATCAATAATCATTTCCTGAAGTCATTTCTTTTTTTTGGGGGGGGGGTGGGGGTCCTGTTGTGGGGTCTGAACTCTGGGCCTGGGTGCTGTCCCTCAGCTCTTCAGCTCAAGGCTAGCGCTCTACCACTTGAGCCACAGCACCACTTCTGGCTTTTTTTCTTTTTGCTTATGTGGTGCTGAGGAATCGAACCCAGGGCCTCAGGCATGCAAGGCAAGCGCTCTACCACTGAGCCACCTTCTCAGCCCCTCCTGAAGTCATTTCTAACTTTTAGTCTGCCCTTTTCTGAACATGGTGCTATAATGGCAAATTACAAACTCATTCCTCCTCTTTCCCTTTTAACTTGATTCTCCCATTATTAACTCTCCAAACGGAGAATTAGGAAAAGACTCACTGCGAGTCCTCACTTTTTTTTTCTTTTTTTTCTTTCTTTTTTTTTTTTTTTTCTTTTTGGTGCCAGTGCTGGGGTTTGAACTCAGGACCTGGGCACTGTCCCATAGCTCTTTCACTCAAGGGTGGCATTCTGCCATTTGAACAACAGCTCCACATTTGGCTTTTTGTTGGTTAATTGGAAGAAGAGCCTCACAGACTTTCCTGCACTGGCTGGCTTCAAACGGTGATCCTCAGATCTCAGTCTCCTGAGTAGCTAAGATTATAGGTGTGAGCCACTGGGGCCTGGCAGATCCTCACCTTTGAACTATCCAGAAGTCTAGGCCTTGTGGCCATGAAGCTCCAGCCTATGGTGATATGCTCCTGTAAGCCCTGTGAGCGCATGGCATCCCAGAGTGTCATTTGGACCATGCTTGGGGTCTCCTTCCTCTCCCCTACTGCCTTCCTCACTATGATTCCTACAATTTTTTTCCAGACCATTACTCCCCTCCCAGTTTCTCAATGCTATTTTCTCATTGGCCCCAGATAAGAGTTGGTGAAAGAGGACCTCTCTCCATACGAGTCATGCCCACCCCTTGCTTCTTCAGTCCTGTCCCTGCATTAGATTGGCTTGGGAAGATGGGGCAGGTGATTGTTAACAATAGACAAAAATCAGAAAGCACCATTTTAGTACTGTTGATATACATTAGACCCACATGTGTTAAGTGTCTTAAGAAGCTGTGAGTTCCAAATGTAAACCAGTGTGCCATTTCATCCTCAGTCCCACAGTGCTGAGCTCTACGTCCATCCGGTGTGTTCATTTTCTGTGGTTGCTGTAACAAATTCCTTAATGACTTAGGGCTGGGGATAAAGCTCAGTGGCAGAGCACTTGCTAATATGTGTGAAGCCCTGCATTTGAACTCCAGCACTGCAAAAGAACAAGAGTGGCCTAAAACACCACAAATATATTATCTTATAGAGATCAGAATCACAAAATTAATTCCATGGGCCAATGCCAATCAACTTGTCAGCTGGACCTTACTTTTTTTGGAGAGTCAAGGAAAACTCCCTTTATGTAACTTTCGCATCTTCTAGAAGCTGCCTATATTCTTTCTTGTCTTCTGATTTCTACTTTCAACTTCAAAATCAACAGCATGACATTTTTCTAATTTCTCTCTTTTCTTTCCCTTCTTTTCTCTCCTTCCTTGTCCCTCCCCTCCTTCCTACTCTCTCCCTCCCTCTCATTCTTCCCTTCTCTCCTTCCTTCCTTACTCTTTTCCTTTGTTTCTCCCTTCCTCCCTCTCTTCTCTCTAGGTAGAAGGACTATCATTGTAGATCACTCTTGACCTTGACCCTCCTACCTTCCCCTCCCAATCAATCACGCTTGTGATTGATTGAATCAGCCAATATTCCATATCGATGAGGTCTTTGCCTTCGGTCATATCTCTAAGGGACCTCATTCACAGGTTTCAGGAATTAGGGTACAGGCATCTTGCAGGAGAGGGACATTCTTTTGACTCGCACATCAAGAAAACCACATTTACACTGTGATTTCTCTAAAAAACGTGAACATCGAAGCCAGCTTTCTAATTCCTTGCTTTATTTCCAGATGCAGAGGGAACTTGTGTATGCAAGAGGAGATGGCCCCGGTGCCTCTCGGCCTGGATCCACAGCTCACCCAGCCCATGCAATTCCCAATTCGCCACCATCCACGCCTGCGCCCCATTCCATGCCCCCCTCCCCATCCAGAATTCCTTATGGGGGCACACGCCCCATGGTTATTCCTGGAAATGCCACCATCCCCAGAGACAGACTGTCCAGCCTGCCGGTCTCCAGATCCATCTCGCCAAGCCCCAGCGCCATTTTGGAAAGGAGAGACGTCAAGCCTGATGAGGACCTGAGCGGCAAAAACATGGCTCTGTACAGGAACGAGAGCTTCTATGCGGATCCTTACCTGTACCACGAGGGACGGATGAGCATTGCCTCGTCGCACGGCGGGCACCCCCTGGATGTCCCCGACCATATCATTGCCTATCACCGCACGGCGATTCGGTCGGCCAGTGCTTACTGTAACCCCGCCTTGCAAGCAGAGATGCACATGGAGCAGTCACTGTACAGACAGAAATCCAGGAAATATCCCGACAGCCATTTGCCGACCCTGGGCTCCAAAACACCCCCTGCCTCTCCTCACCGAGTCGGTGACCTGAGAATGATAGACATGCACCCTCACAACAATGCACCCGACCGGGCCTCGCCCAGTCGCCAGTCTTTTAAAAAGGAGCCAGGCACCTTGGTGTATATTGAAAAGCCACGGAACACGCCAGGATTATCCGGCATTGTGGACCTCGGGCCTCCTCTCGTTGAGAAGCAAGTGTATGCCTACAGCACTGCTACAATCCCCAAAGACAGAGAGACCAGGTAAGGCCTGGGGCCCTGGCAGACGGTGTTCTCTAGAGATCAAAGCAGGAGAGGAGAAAGCTGGCAGCAGAGAAGGCTGCTCCCTGCACGGTTGCTGAGCGGGTGGGGTTGGGTGTGGTACCGCAGGAGTATGCACTAGGAAGGACAGGTGTAGCCACAAGGGAGCTCAGTCCTGTAGTGTGGCACTCGGACTCACAAGGCTTGAGTCGTTCACAAGAAAAGTATTCTTAACCGAAGCCATTCAGACAAGTGGGTCAAGAGGTGATGGGGAGTCACTAAGGACTGCGGAGTTTAACGGTTCACAGTGGCGATTGATATTTTGCTTTTAGGATGTCATTTTGTTTCTCCATATGGCTTGGGGACAGGAATGGGTTACTGCCCTGTCTTCCGAGATGATAAAAATGTGAGTGTCTGTGAACATGACATGGTTTAAATTTAATGGTTATTTGGAAGTGGTGCTGAAATCAGCGAAGTTTTTCTAGTGACTAAGGCGTTGAAAATTGCTTCTTAAATATTATAATTGTATTTTATTTCATCAGTCCTGAGCCTTTCTCCTCTATCATCCAAAAAAATCTATAAAGTAACAACAGAAAAGCTAACTTTGATACAGGACATTGCTAAAGCCTGAATGGATTGGAGAACTTGGTAAAAAATCTGGTCAAAGAAATGGAAACTGCAGAGGTTGGCATATGTAACAGCTGTCATATATGAATTCAGAAGGAGGAAATGTAAGAAATAAGAATCAGGGGCTGGTAGTGGTGACACATGCCTGTAATCCTAGTGATATAGAAGTCAGAGATGGGAGAATCGTGGTTAAACACCAGCCTACACACACAAATATAGCAAAACCATATCTTGAAGAATTGCATGTCTGCAATCCTAGTTATATGGTAAAAATAAGAGAATCACCCTCCAAGGCCAGCTCTGGGCAGAAGTAGCCTGTGTTTGAAAGGAACTAAAGCATGTAGGGCTGGAAGTGTGGCTCAAGTATTAACACATTTGTGTAGCAAACATAAGGCCATGAGTTCAAACCCCAGTCTGCCAAGACAAAAATAAACAAAAAATTAAAAAAATTAAAATCTGGTGTTCAGTTACTTAGAACCTTCTTAGACCACTGCCCCTCACTAAAAAATGGCATTATTATATTACTTTATAAAAAATAAGTCCAAACTTGTGAATGAATTAGGAACTGTCTAGTGAACTGTTTTTATACACAACTCAGAAAGCTCTGTCCATTCTAGCAGAATGTTGTCATGGAAAGCTGGCCCTCTGTGTCTATTTACTCATAAGGATCTCATGCAGAGGGCTTCCAGGAGAACAGAACGAGAATAAACATGAACATTTGAAAGTCTTTAATGCAACAATAAATTCTAACCCCCGCAGTTAGAAAACCCGCAACAATGACTGGCTTGCTTATGTAGAACTAAGAAAACTTAAGGATTGGAAAAATATTCATTGCCTCCTTCCCAAAGCCCTTAGCAATGAAATTCTAAGATGCCTAGGAAGGGACACCCACAGCGGTTCATCAACACAGACCAGCATCACCACTACAGAGGAAGCTAGCAAGACACAACAAAGGCTCAGGAGCGTGTGCTGAGAGCTATGGGACAGGGCTATAGATGGTCCCAATGGCGGGCAGCAGGGGGCAGGGCAGGGAATGGTGCATAACTGCTAAAGGGGGGACTTAGAGCCATAGAATTCAGTGAGGGGACAAGAAAAAGAATCAGCCTCCAGGCTGGTCCCACCTCCTGCCACATCCCACACTGCCCTGCCTGGTGGGTGGCAGAGGACGGGAGGTTCAGCTCCATCCACCTCCTGCATTCTGGGTCCGTGATGGCCAGCTGTGGTGTCCTCCCGGTCTCCAGCAGCTGGTGCTTCACTTGATCACCTGCCAACCATCACTGAGCACCTAGTATGGAAGCAGTGGAACCTGTGAAATGTCTGCCCCCCCCCCCCCGCCCACCTTATGTTCTCTTTTAGAACACCCAGTCTTCTGCCCTGGCCTGCTGCCCTCAGACACCCCTGTGCCTACCTCAAAACCACATGTTCCTGTCTTGCGTTAGAAAACCTTCTCAGGAATCAAATGACTGTGTGTTTACCTACAATTGAGCATATTAGAAAAATGCACTAAGATGATTGCACCCTGAACTGCAGTCATGGTGGCCAGCTCCCATGATGATGGCCGTCACTCTGAACGAGATTGTACATGTTCACGTGGCTTCCTGGACCCCTGCAATGTACAAACAGCTCCCACTCCTCACCTGCTAATTAGCTCCACAGGGGGCAATTGATGGTGAGGGCAGATGGGGGGGCGGCTTGCCAAGATCCATCCAGTGACACTGCGTGCACACACACACACCATAGACAAAAACACACACACCTCACATGTAGTGCCGGTGTGAGGAAAGACCATGCTTCTACTACTGTTTCATTCCTTCTCCCCATAACTGGTGAGGGAAGTGAGCCATGTAGCTCTCCAATAAAGGGAACCAGAACCCACAACTTCTGCTCTCTGCCTTTCCACCCACCTACACTGTTACCTAAACAGGTAGAGCAAGGGACAGAAAGCATGGTCTGTGTCCTCCCTGCTTTCCAGCCACAGCTGTGTCTGACACTGCACTTTGAATGCAAGGACTAGGCTGGCCAGCAGTGGTATGAGGGGCAGCTACTACATATCAGGGGCCTTTTCTGCACACACATGAGGGTAAGCGTTTCCATAAGTCTCATATTGAAGTCATCATCACAACCATGTGCTGTGCATCCCCATTTTAGAGATGTGGGAAACAGGATCAGAGAGGTTCAGTAGCTTTTCCACTATCACAAAGCTGGTAAGAAGCATACTATATCAAAGTCTATTGAAGAATGTCTACTTTTTGCCAGGCAGGGTTGTGCATGCTTGTAAGCTGAGAACTGGTGAAGGCCAAAGAAGGAGGATCAGAGGCCAGCCTAAGCTGCATGGTGAAACCTCGTCTCAAAAAAAAACCCAGGGCTGCTGAGCACCAGTAGTTGATACCTGTAATCCTAGCTACCCAGGAGGCTGAGAGCTGAAGAACACAGTTCAAAGCCAACCCAGGCAGGACAGTCTGTGAGATTATTATCTCCAATTAACCAAAAAGCTGAAAACAGAGCTGTGGTTTACATGGTAGAGTACCAATGTTGAGTAAAAAAAAAAAAAAAGCAGTGGTTGAATGTGTGACTCAGTGGCAGAGCTGCTGTTTAGCAAGTATGAGGACATGAGTTCAAATCCCAGTATCACCACAAAAAAAAAAATCCTTGGAAAAAAAAAAAGCTATGGGGACAGTTCCTAGGCCCTGAGTTCAAGCTCCAATACTCACACACACACACACACACACACACACACACACACACACACACACACACACACACACACACACACACACACACACAAAACCCACACACAAGGACTTGGGGTGTAATGCCCATTGATAGATTAGTTTTACCTCATGTCCAGGGTATATGTGTTTCTACAGGGCAGTATTGTGCCTAGTAACTAAGAGATGGGGGACACTCCAGTCTCCCCACATTTGCCCAGGACAGGTAAGTAAAGTCAGGAGTGAATTCTGAACATTTCAGCCAGATTCCTTCCAAAACTGTTTCAGAACTAGATACTAAGTGACTGCTCCTAAAGGATATTTACAGTCACAAACATGGTAGAATTTGCATAATTATACTGCTAAATATATGCATGCCATTTAAAATATAACTGCCCTAGCTAGTATATTAGCACAATTATGTAGAAATCGGGAAAGCAAGAAGAGAACATTCTTGGTAGGTTTTATTTTGTTAAAAAAAAAAAGAAAGAAAGAAAGAAAGAATATGAGTCCTATGTCAAAGAAAAAAAATTTTAACAAGAACACCAGCAGCAATTACCGAAGCACAAAATTATAGTCCATTGTCTGGTTTATCCTATGACGTTATTTGAGAAATATTTAATCTGGGTAAGTATTTTCAACGAGTGTTTCACCTTTTAAAAAAATCTAACTTCATAGGTACAGAAAATGCCAAACCAATTTTGGTTGCAATTTCATGTTATTAAAAAGCAAATAAACCTGAGAGTGGTTTATAAGAAACTCTCAGGAGAAATTTTACATCTAAGACGTGAAGCAACAAAAACACAGGGAGGAGTTGCCCCTTGGCTCCCTCTGAGCACTGCTGGATTCCTCTGCTGTTCCAGAGGGCCCTCCAATGCCATTGCCCAAAGATCTGCAGAACACCAAGCATCAGAGGGAAAATGCTCCCCTGCATCTATACTCGGGAGACACAGCAGAAACTGGTTTGAAGAAACATGATTTTATAACCACTCTGTTGACATAGAAATTGCGTCTATCAAGACCTAAGTAATTTAATCTTTTTTGGGGGGGGAAGGGGAGGCACTAGGACTCTTATACTTGCTAGGTAAGCACTCTTAACTCTTATACTTGCTAGGTAAGCACTCTTAACTCTTGAATTACACTTCCAGCACTTTTTTTGTTTTTAGTTTAGTTGTTATGGTTGTTTTTAAATCAGATAGGGTCATATCAAGTTTATACCTCAATTCTCCTATTTCTGCCCCCCCCCCCCCAAGTAGTTGAAATTACAGCTGTGCACCACCCCTGGCTCGTTTGTTGAGATAGTAATGCAGGAATGTCTGGCTAACTTTTTGCCTAGACTACTAGCCTTGACCCTTGATCTTCTCTAGTAGCTGGAATTACAGGTATGTGCGCCTACATCTAGCCCTGTTTAATTTTGATTTGTGTAGTTGGTCTCACGCTCTGTTTTCAAGACGCTGGCATCTCTTTGCTTTCTAACGGTATTTCAGTAAATCGTAATGATAGTTTGTACCAAGAAGACCTGGAATTAGGTGTATGTCATACAAGCTGAGTGAAAGGGGGCTGTCCCTCCCAGAAACCCTGGGACAGGCACACATCACAAGCACTTTGACTCTCAGAACAGCCCTCTTATGTCAGACCTTCTAGAAAGATAGTCTTGGAGTGTTTAGG